TCTTGGTGAAGTTGATGCTGAATTCACTATTTAGTAGATAATCATGTGACACTTTATCTTTGCACTACGGTCTGTCTGCTGAGCCTACCTATTATATATATATACATATACAGGGCTCTCAAGTTTTGAACAGAGTTCAGAGTGAGATTTTGGCAGCGGTGTTTGGCACTCCAACTTCTGGCTCCCCTCAAAGTTCCCATGAAGCCCTCTGTACCGCGAATGTCAACGGGGTGGGGGGGGTGCTAGTGGAGTGCACGCGTCTCAAACAAGCCTAGTTTGTTTACAAAATTGCGGCGCAACTTGGTGGGCGGCACCCTGGAAAGAAATCTTTGAGAAATACAAGGTGTGGCGTGTGAGCGTGTGAATGGAGTGAAATGCCAAATGCATGAGGCTTGAGAGCTCTATATATATATATATATATCATGTACAGCGGGTGGGCTTTATACCCCCTCCCCCGTGTAGTTCTTCTTCTCTCGTTTTTTTTTGTACTCGCCTTGAAGGGGTTTTGCGGCCTGCCAATAAACCCAGAGAAGAAGAAGACGAAGTGACGTCAGCGTAATCTTGCCTAAGGGAAAGTACTGCTGTGTGAATGCGATTGGCACTAGCCCCCTGGCGGATTCAGTGGCGTGGTACTTTAGTGCCGGAACTAAAGTACGGCAAGTCCTGCGGTGTGAAAGCGGCTAATGAGGACAAGGCTTTAAAACATGAAAAGCGTTAAAGGCAGTGTTAATGCAGTCTTTCTTCATACAGGCCTTTCTATGGTTACCACAGTAAGGAGAAGCGCTTTATGAAGATCTACCTGTACAATCCTCGCATGGTCAAACGGTAAGCTAACTGCAAATTGATGCTCTTTAATCCCAATCAGAATTCCTTTATTTGTCCTACAGAGGGGACATTTACATTGTTACAGCAAAGTATAGATAGATAGAGATGATTTGCAACAACAACAAAATGTACAGAAATTCACATTCAGGGAAAATGCGTAAGTACGCAGTATTTATAAAATAGTGTAACATTATAGAGTGTGGTAGCGGGTAGATTGCGCTAGTAAATCAAATCAAATATTTTAATAATAACATACATAATTTTGTTGGAATGGACTACCTAAGAAGTAGCAGCCAGTAGTAATAATATTAATAATAGCTGGAGACTGCTGGATGAATATGGAGTAACCTCTGCTTGTTGTAGGGTGTGTGAGCTGTTACAGAGTGGAGCCGTGATGAACAAGATGTATCAGCCCCACGAGGGCCACATCCCCTACCTTCTGCAGCTCTTCATAGACTTCAACCTGTACGGCATGAACCTGCTGAACCTGGGGGCTGTCAAGTTCCGCTCTTCCCACCCCAAAGGTAAAGCTTCACGCCCCCAGCTTTATATGTGGCCCTGTGCTCAACGTCACAACGTTCACAGTTCTTCAGTGCCAGTTAGACTGCGAGTGTGACATTAGGTGCACGACTGATGTGGACTTGCAAGAGACTTTATCTTTGTTTTGGTTTATTAGTTAGATTTACTTGTTGCAGATCACACATTGTTTTCTAATTCTTTATTGTTTAATTAAATCATAAAAAGAAATTGTTTGAATTAATTCTCACATTTGCCCTCACACCCTGTATGCCCTGTGCTGTGGAGCTAGTTGCTTCTCCAGCTGTCTCCCAGGAGGACACTCTTCTGTTCAGTCCCTGCTGGAGAGTGTGGCCATTCCCCGGGCTTTGTGTTGTTTACAGGTAGTCCTGGCCTCTCCTCAGCCTCAGGAAGACTCAGATGACTTCTTAAGGCTCTTTCTCTCTTTTCACCGTTTATTTATTTGTCATGTTTTGCGCAGTGTGCCACTTCCTCCCTCTTGTTTAGTCTCTATATTACTTGCATTGTTTTTTCCTTATTTGGTCACCCTGGTGCTCTCACTGCTGCTCAGCAATGAGGCAAAAGTATAATCTACTGGCACACTGCCTCCTGAAAATCCTTAACAGGGAAACACAGACAGAAACATTGTATACACAATCAAAAGGTGCGAGAACAGAACAAAAACAAACTAGCAGATATACTGTCTGGGCGCTCCGGCACTATTACAAAAAATTACTTGTCAATCTGTAGTTTCAGCAAAGTGTGATAATCAGAGGGATGAGTGATAATCCTGGAGAAAAGTTGTGTGGAAAGGGAAAGATTGAGCGTTGAGCTGTCTCTGACTTTTTCTAATGTAGTAATAAAACATGGTTACATGCTTTAATGTTTAAACACATTGTTTTTCTCATACTGTCTGAATGTACCTGTATTCACACATGATCATTCATTAGCCATAAAACACAGTGGCCTATGCTAGCTTATGTCAGCAAACAGCTCATATGTATTTTTGTGTAGCTGATATTACTGTGTCACGTTCTCCTGTTCTTGGTCTACTGTTTACGTTTATGATTTAGCACTTCTCAGGTAAACATTATAATGGTTTCATAAAAAAAATCCAATAATGCCCCCTTCCCACCAAAGTGGTTCCAGGGCCAGTTCGGAGCTAGTGACCGATTAAGAACCAGTTCTTCCTGTTTCCACCGCAGCGGGGCCGGTGTAGGTACCATATCTGCTCGGGGTACCATATCTGCTCGGGTGTATTTCCGTCGCATCCGTCATCCGTCATATCCGTCATATTGTACGGCAACTCAAGAGGGCCATCATACATGGTCAAATTCCGAACATTTAAACATAGCCTACACTTCATTCTTTACTTTGACCGTTATTATAGAAGATATTACTTTTTTCTCCGTCATGTTGTTTCCATAGCAACAACTTCAATCAGAAAGTTAACCTAAATTACATTTAACACAAATTGGGTTATTTACATATGTTATTTAACATTCAAACATAAAAAATAACAACTAACTGCTAGCCGCAAAGCTACAGCCACTGCTCCGTTTTCGGAGAATTTGCACACGTTTTTCACAAACATTTTCACACGCTAGGAGTATGGGAGTACTTCCATTGATCTGTAGATGTGATTTGATGTGTCGTGTGTCCCCCAACTCCTCTCCAAAGTTCAGATATTTAATAAAATACTCAGGGGAGTTTCCTGAATTTTCATGCCCAAAGCCAAGCACTCGGCGCTAAATGCTGATCTCGGGCACTTTTGTCCTCTTTCCCTGGTGCTAGAAACTCAAATTAGGCATCCCTGGAATCGTCTCAGAGGGTAGATGATCAGTGGGGCCTTGTTTTTACTGAATGATGTGTTTCTTTATGGGGAATTCAAATATGAGCTTATTTTTAGGATAGCTAACCTACATCGTTTTGTATTTCTAAATTGGCAATTTTACCCTTTTGAACCTCTATATAACATAGTAAAAGATATAAGGGAAATAATTTATTGACAAAGCCAAATCATTTTAAAATATTTATTAACATATGAACTGCATAGGATAACTGGATAAGATTACAAAGATCAATCTTCTGACTTCTTGAACTTTGCCAGGTTGCCTGATTCCAGACCTCCAGACCTCCAGACCTCCTTCAGCTTGGACATGATGGTCACCTTTTCATTGATAAAAGGTGGCTTGAAAAGAGCATTCGCTTTGCTCCACTGACCAATCATACCAGGGAAAATTTCACCCACCAGCTGGTCCACTGGGTAGTTCCTCCTGCCATCTTTAGTTTGATCCCTCAAGGAGCTGCCATACCCCAGGATATCCCTCACAGTTGGCAGTTCAGACACCAACAGCTCTCGCCCAGGGTTAGGGTTAGGATTACCATGAGCTCAACATAATTATGTACAGTACAAGTCCACAGCCAAGAAAATGTTATTTGCATGTCATTTTATTTATGAGTATGGAATTATGGAATTATAACACTGGAGCTTGTTATTATTGAACTTGATCATTCTGCTTCAGTTTGTGGGCTACAGCCAGTTTATGGTTGCAGCACGTTAACAGCTTCATCCTCTGAACGTGCGTCTGTTCAAAAAACTGCAGGAACCCAGAACACAGACAAAAAACATAACCCCCTTCACATCTCAACTATTATAACGGGTCCCCGATATGACCACAGTAGCAGTGATGATACCTTTATTAAGCACCTTGCAGATTGCTTCTCTGATTGTTTTATTGCACAACAAAATCATGTATATTAACTTTCTGTTCTATGCATTTCAGTTCATTAACATTCTTTAATTAACACTTCACTTTCCTGACACAGTTCCACTGACTTACATTCACTGTCAGTTACCCTTTTCTGTGATAAACACATATTTCACTTGAATTTCACATTCAGTAGACATTTATTGTACCTTAAATACATTTTAAGAATGAATTATCTAGTCTCCTACATGAGAGAAACAAGACCTGGGCAAAGGCTAGGAAATCAGGCTTAGAGGTAGAATGGCTGCGTTTTAGGCAGCTAAGGAATAGCTTCACTTCACATGTCAAAAGTGCTAAATCTAAGTATTATCTGTCAGTTACCACAAGCAACCTGAACAACCCTAGAAAAATTCTGGAAAGCCATAAAAATCGATATCCACCGGTGATATCCGTAATGAGCTACCTCCGTGCCTTACCACTGCATCTGGCTCTATATCGGACAGGGGCCACCAT